TTTTAAGCTGCATTCTAAAAAGGTTAAGTGACCAAACATGGCTTCCCCTGGCTTCTATCTCTCTGCTATAGAGAGAACATTCCATTAGGGACTGTCGGTCCAGGTAAGTAGTCTTGGCTAGGAAAGATTTTTGTGCCACTACTGGCACAAAATAACAAACTCCCATGGTTTGTTAATAGTATTTTCATTTTAAGTGTTTCTTTTTCAATTAATGAATTGTAATTATGAAAATATCAGCTATTCTTTTATATACACAGTGCAACATCTTTTTTATAGACTGTCATTTTCAAATCTATTTTGAGTTCCCCGCAGCTCCCCATAGCTGCCCGAGCCTTGCCCTGCCCTCCCCATTAGCTCCTTGTAGCTGCCCGGGCCTCGCCTTGCCCTCCTTGTAGCTCCCTGTAGCTGCCTGAGCCTCGCCTTGCCCTCCTGGTAGTTCCCCAGGCCTCTCCCAGCCCTCTCCGTAGCTCCCTAGGCCTTGCCCTGCTCTCTGCGGGCCCTTCCCAGAGCTCACCGGCCTCACCCTGCCTTCTCCAGAGCTCCCCAGGACTTGGAAACTGGCAAAAAAACAGAAAACCTCAGGCACAAGACTGTGTGGGATGTTGTAACTGGTCATAAGTGTGTGCGTGTGCGTGTCTGTGTGTGCATTGCTGTCAAAACACCCAAAACCGGTTAGGTAGCTCTGTGGAGGTCAGTCGTAAATTGAACACTTGCTAAGCAACTGGCCATTAAGCGAGAACCACTTATATTTGGTTTGCCAGTCACATGGCCACCTGGCCACACCCACCCCAGTCACATGACCACCTAGTCATGACCAGTCAGCAAGCCACACCCACCCAGTCACATGACCACCTAGACATGCCCACCCCAATCATATGACCAGCCACACCCAGTCAGCAAGCCATGCCCACCCAGTCACATGACCACCAAGCCACACCCACAAATTAGGCCAGGCCCACAGAACCAGTTGTTAAGAAATTTGAATCCCACTCCTGGGTAGCTGCCCAACATTTCTGAGCACCAAAGCTCTTACATAACTTCCATGCTCAGTATCCTGATAAGCCACACTAATTAATTAACCTTTCTTCTTCTCTTTTCATTTCCAGGCCTAATGCCTTATTTCAAGAAGGGCAGAAAGTCAGTTATCACCTTATGCTTGCTGTGCTTCACTGTTATGTGGTAACAGACTGCCATGAACTGTAAAGAGGGGGGATGAAGAGTGGGGTGCTTGGGGAATCAAAAGTAGATATTGTACCTCCTCAAGATGCTGCTCCAAGATAATCCAACTGGAAGAAGGAGGGAGCCATTCCATTCTTCTAGGTCCTACCAGATATACCTCCTTAGTGGATGGAACTCACAACATTCCTAGCCTCCCCACTCTAGACAGTCAGGTGGATGTGACTGGCAAGAGACAGTTCCTTAGATAATTTGGTCCAAGCCATGAAGGGCTTTAAAGGTGACAAACAACACCTTGAGTTGCAATAAATTGGCAACCAATCTCAGCTCCCACAGAAGAGATGACATAGATGCATACTTCCAATACTTCAATCCCAATATCAACCTAAGCCTAGATGTATCCAACAAGTCCACTTTTCTGATAAAAGACACACTATTGGACATATAAGCTACATAATGGACACATAAACACCAGGAAGGTTATAAGTCACCATGCACAAAACCATGCGGGCTCCTGCATTTTGAACCAACTGGAGCTTCTGAATGCTTTTCAAGGGCAGCTCCAATGTACAGTGCATTGCAATAGTCAAGAAGGAAGGTGACTAGGGCATAAGTGGCCATGCAGGTCCAGGAAATGGATAAGTGACTGTTAGGAATATAAGTCACCTAACAGGTATTTGGGTTAGAAATATATAAACCAGGATAAACATTTTAGTACTATATCTTTAAGGGAATGCAAGAGCATGCAATTGGGTGTGGTTTCTCAAACAGCCATAAGATGGAGCCAGAAACCCGGGTTGTTTAGTCTTAGTCTCAGAAGAGAGTGTGTCTGAGTGAGTGCATCACTGTTTCCTTCTGTTGGAAAATATTGCCGTTGCTCCATTTCTTCTAATTGACTGATATTACTGGAATTTGATGTAAGTCTGATACTGAACTGTTTTTGACACTGGAATTTGATATTTGGATTATCCCTGGATTGAAAACTGACTGATTAACTTGTGAATGATTTTTGGACTGCTTATTTTGGACTTTGCTTAAACCTTTCTGGAAGTAAAAACCTACATTTACTGTACAGTGTATCTGTGTGCTCTGTGTGTATTATTCCAACACCACTCTCACTACGTCTCCCTGTATGCGCTCATTCTCCTAACGGGGAATTACCTCAACACTGGTTATGGGCCCAGGCCATACCAGGCTCAGATAACTGAGAGTTAGTGTGAATACACAATACTGTATAAAGACAGCTGTTTACTGTTTAATTGTGGTTTACTATCCTGGTAAAGATGGCACAAGTCACTTCAACAAGTCTATCACTGATAACCCGGTTGGATGGAACAAACTATGTTTTCTGGTCTATGAAATGTAGTCTACTTCTGTGTAAAGAAGGTTTATGGAATGTAGTTCAAGAGCCACCGGATGTAAATGCTTGGGATCCAGATAATGAGGATGATGCCAAGAAGACTGCTGACTTTAAACAGAACAATGAACGAACTCTTTGTATAATTGGACTAACACTGAGTGACCAGCAGCTAGTCCATATTCGTGCAGAAGAGTCTGCTGCTAAGTGTTGGGAGAATTTGAAGAGGATTTATGTTCATGACAGTGTAGGTGCACACATACATCATGAATGTATACATTTACTACATAGACGTCTAGGGGACATTAATTTCAAAATGCTCAAACAAACTGTTGAATTGGCAGAGGGAGTAAAATTGAAACCCTGTAGCAAGTATTTACACTGTAATGCTTGTAGCCAAGAAAAAAGTAAGGTTACTCCAGCAAACAGACTAAATGGGTTTAAGACCTTTAGAGGTTGTTTTTGCTGACATAATTGGTCCTAAGAAATCAAGTTTAGCCTGCTATATTTTGAGTATTATGGACCATTACTCACAATATGGTTTCTGCTATCTTATGAAAAACAAAACAGAAACATTCCAACATTTCTTTAACTGGCTAAGGTTTGCTGAGAGAAAAATGAGGAGTAAAGTAATTACTTTAGTTACTGATAACGGGACTGAGATTATTAACAAAAGATTCCAAACTATGTTGAAATTGGCTGGTGTCCAGCATAAACGTTCTGCACCTTACAGACCACAGCATAACTCGTTTATAGAATGAAGAGGGCAAACATTACAAGCCATGGCTCGCACTATGTTATCTGATTCAGGTTTACCTGAAACACTGTGGGGTGAAGCCATAATGTGTAGTAACCATGTTTTAAACAACAACACTACTCTCTATACGTCTCCCTGTATGCGCTCATTCTCCTAACGGGGAATTACCTCAACAGTGAACATGTTGGTCCAGGAAAGGGCAAAACTAGCACACTACCTTCAGTTGCACAATACTCTCAGCAGAGAAAAACAAGATACCATCTAAGGCTTTAAGAACAACAATGCCGTTATAATTAAACAAGCTGACAAATGAGGGATAGTTGTCATTATGAATGTGGTTAATTAAGTTCATGAAACTAAAAGGCGACGAACCAATATTGTACCACACTGAGTTATCAGTGCACTTATGTGCACATACATTGCTCTGCAATATGCCAATGTGTTCATGGAAGATTTCAAATGTTCTCAACTCTTAAGTCCTGAATTTATATGAAATTTACTGATGACATTTTCATGATCCATACCCATGAAAGTCCCTCATTACATTCCATCAGGACTTCAATGGAAGAATTTCCTAAGGACATACAAGATTGAATCTATGTGCAGACATTGCAGAAACAGATATAACTGTAAATTTTGAATATATCAGAATATATCAGGTCTTTATCAGATATGTCTAAAAGTCATACAGATATGTCTGTAGAAAGTGTGATCCTTTTTCACCTGCTGCAGATGCTTCCAAGATTGAAAGTCCTCATAGATATGCAAGCACACAGAACATGTTTCTGAGCCACAGCTACTGATCCTTATATATGCTAGTTACAACAGGTAACTAGAAAAAGTCTATCTCTGTTCTGATATTTTTTTAATTTAGCTTATATTTATATTTTTCTTCACACATTGAAGCAATAATGGCATTGTATGTGTGTGTGTGTGTACATGTGTGTGTATGTGTGTGCATTTAAACATTTAATCAACATGTTAATCGAATTCTGGTCTATAAACTATTGTATTGTGAAATATACAATAGAGTCTACAGATTCTAAACTTAACTAGAATTCAGTACTCATTGTATTTACTAAAAAAAGCTAAAATCCTGCAATACTTGGTAGAGGTCATACTTCTATGCTCCCAATATTACTCATATATTCTCACTGAGAAAGTCTGCCAGACTGAATTTTGCTTAGGCAAAATATAAGCTGTGTCCATTCTTTTTCACAAACACCTTCTGATCAGGTCTTCAAACCTAAGCTGTATTTTGTTCACATTGTCTAGAAGTCAATAAAGTTAAGTAACTTAACTGCAGGCAAACATTGACCAAAAACTGGAAAAAAGAAAGCCTGCAAATCACATCAACTTGTATATCTGGGGATCAGCTGCCTGGCCCCTGCCCTGTCCTTTTTCCAATGACACTTTTAAATTTTGGTCAGATTTTGTTACTCAATACTACAAAACTGCCAAGCACTACAACCACCACCTGGAATTTCTTTACATTGTGTTAAAGCATTGGACTGTCCAACCCAGAATGACTGTTCTGTAATGTCAGAATTCCTTACGGCTTCAGACAAGAGAGATTCTTTCCCCTCATTCTGCTATTTGAGATCCTTGGAGAAAGACACAGTCTCATCCTGGAGTGTGTGCACACAAAGCAAGTGTTTTGTGGCAGCCTTCAATCATCCAAGGCCCTCTTTCCCTTCAGCGAGGACTCACCGTGGCATCTTGTCCAGAATAGTGTCTGATGAGACGAAACCCACCTGGGTGCTGCAAATAGAACTGACTAACATCATAAACCTTTCGATCAATGACCAGCCATCTCTCTTCCTTGAAGTCTCCTTGGCCTGTGCGGAGACTCACTTCCTCCCAGGTGAAGAGCCGTGGGACCCCTGGCTTTACTACACTGGCTCCTGACTGAGGCGGCATCCTGGCTGGAAGCACTGAGAAGTTCTGCTCCACAAATTCCTGGGGTGGTTTTTTTACCCTGTGGAAAGTGAAAGCGATTCTACCTCTGCATTCTGTTAAATGTTGTAGCCAACTTTATATACACTTCTATCAACCACCCACACTCCCATTAACCTGTTGCACCAGATGTAATCTTGCAAGGCTTCCTTACAACCTGTAGGCGGGCATTTCTTCTTTCAGTGAGCATAAACCTGGAGAGTGTCAGAGTATTAAGTTGGATTAATGAGGATATTATTGTTGAGGATTTAAAAAAAAATAAAAACAGAAAATCCTCAACAATAATATCCTCATTAATCCAACTTGATACTCTAATACTCTCCAGGTTTATGCTCTCTGAAAGAAGAAATGCCCGCCTACAGGTTGTAAGGAAGCCTTGCAAGATTACATCTGGTGCAACAGGTTAACGGCAGTGTGGGAAAAATAAAAAACTATAAAATATTCTGGGTAAGAATTGAATAAGTTCCATAACAGCTCTCCATAGAAGTCTAGCAGCCTCATCATCAACAGTTACTTTAAATGGGCTTCCTTCTGTAAACACCAAAAGCAGAAAAGCAGAGAATTGGGAAATCCATTCAGAAAGAGAAGCATTGCATAAGGCTGCTTCCAAAACTCTAAATCCTTTTAGGCATGGAATGCTCTAACCCCTCACTTTTTCAAATACATTATCACCTCTAATTTCATTCCCAATATCAGTGCATTTTCAAAATGGGAGAGACACTTATGTCAACATAGTTGTGAATTTAAGAAAAGAGATACAAATGAGAGGAGAACATGCAACTTTCTGCCTTCTTCAAGCTTTGTGTTATGAATGTCTATTTCTATTATAAAAAAAGTTTTTATTTTTTACGACAAACATACAAACAAAACATAAAAACATAAAACCATCTTTCAATTATATACATACAGTGTGTCAGTTGGTTACAATCTTTTGTGCTATCCTTTTTTTAGCCATTACTCACAAGTTGTATAAATTCTCACCTTGTCAATCTAACATATGCATATGTATTTATCAATCATTAATCATTCGACTAAACAATTTTTCCATCATTTTATGCGAGATATTCTAAATTTCATTATAGTTTAATCTATACATTCATCCAATGGTTATATATTTTATATTGTATTCTATATCAATCTACTAATTTTTTATTGTAAAACTTCCTAATCTATTTCTTTACCATGTCTTTTATCTAACCATTGATAAAATAAATCCCATATCATATAAAATTGTTTTTCTTCTTGTTCTCTAATTTCAAATGTCAATTTACTCATTTCAGCACAATCCATGATTTTCTTAATAATTTCCTCCTGCATAGGTATTTTTTCATTTTTCCAATTCTTAGCAAATACAATTCTAGCCGCTGTTAAAATATTTACAATCAAATATTTCAATTCTTTGTTGTATATTTCTGGTATAATTCCCAATAAAAATATCTCTGGTTTAAAGTCTATGTGTTGTTTTATCATTTTTTCCAACCACGTGTGGATTATAGTCCAGTATCTTTTTGCATCCGAGCACGTCCACCACATGTGGTAATATGAACCAGGTTTCTGATGACATTTCCAACATTTATCTGATTTATTCTTGAACATTCTCGCAATTCTTGTGGGGGGTAAGTGCCACCTGTAAAACATCTTATACAAATTTTTTTATATGCAATTGACATTGTCATTTTATAATTTTGAGAGCACAATTTTTGCCATTTCTCTAAGTCAATCCCATATCCAAAAATTTTCCCCCAAGCAATCATCATTTCTTTAACTTGTTCTTCCTCTAATTTAAACTCCAGCAAATGTCCATAAATTTTTTTAATTACTTTTTCATCAGTACCTATCAAAATGTTATCTAAACCAGTCAACTTATCATAAAAACCATCTGTTTTAAATCTTTATCAAATCTAGATTGTATTTGTACATATGAAAACCAATTCATTTTTACCATTCAGGTTGCCTGGCACAGTGGGCAGGGCTGGGGCTGGCAAGAGTATGCTGGAAACAGGTGCCCAGAGAGAAAAAACTAGAGGCAACTACCAGCCCTTGCTGTCTCAGCTGATCTGTGGACCATGATTAAGGGCCAGGCAGCCAGGAGGTGACAGGGAAGGGAAGGGCTGCCTCCTGTGCTGGCCCTTCACCAGGGCTTTTTTTGTGGTAGGGCTTATATTAGGCCCACCCCAAAAATCAGGCTGGGACTTATTTTTGAGGTAGGTCATATTTTTGGGCAACACTGTACTAATCCTATTCTAATATATGTTCCTAATAGACATGTGCAATGAAAATGAGTGGGTGTCTGTGATAATTTTTTTGAAATGCTACATAGTGATTCATTTTTGATTAGTAATTAACACATGTTTGTTAAACATGAATTTAACTTATGAGTAAAAGGAGTTTATGAAGGGAAAACAGAATCTTATGGTCTTACATTCCCCATGACTGAAGAGAAAACACACCATTCATAAACATTCATGATCTGGAAATGGCATGGAAACTACAACCTTTTGGGAAATTCAAAGGAATCATGGTCCATTTCAGAAATTTCTACCTAACCATATTAAATCTTTTTTTAAAATTGAAATAAATAGTAACAGCTGGATTCTGTTTATTTTGAATTATAATAAAAGCTTAAATAAGAGTTCTCTTGTGGCATTTTGGTGGCACCATATGAATCCAGCCATCTGAGTTGGGTGCATAATTTTGAAAAAGCTACCTGTAAATCTGTAAACCATGGACACAAATAAAATCTTAGCAATTACATTCATCAAGGGAAGAAGCCTATAACTGAAATATGATACTTTGAAATCATTACTTTCTGGTGTAACACAATACTTCAATTAGTGCAGCCCAAGATTATTCTTTTCTAGATCTCCATAATACTGCTTGCTCATACTTGTCTGGATATATCATCCTAAATTTGTACAGGAATAGAATTTTGCAGCTAATCATCTTCAAGGGTACATCCTAATAGAGGGACATCCCAAGCTACTAACCCTAGCATTTATGTGCAACACCATGATCTCCTCATACTATTTATTTTATTATTTTATTATTTTCTGTTGTAATGACGAGGCAGTCGAGGTGTTTGATCATGATCAAATGAATCATGATGAACTTGGAGTCTAGTCTTACATTTATACACATTTTTAGTAATCCTCTAACATTGGTTAACTTTAGTTTCTGCTCAGCTTTCGTTACTGTTTAGCATAGTAATTAACACAATTAATTATCTCTAGTTGAAGTCTAACATATGTTTACTTCCTCTCTCTAATCCTTCTTTGCATTAGTGATTTTGTTTGCCTGAGTTGTATTTGCTTTGGAACCTTCATTACCTGAGGTTTGCCATCAAGATAATGACATTCCTGCAATTACAAATCTACAATTTTCAGAGCTTGTTTTCAATATAAATTGATCTACATTATTATATGAGCACTGTGCATAATACTTTTTAATTGTTAGGTGGGTGGATTGCAATGTATTGCAAATACTTTATTGCAAAAACTTTATATGGGTTTAATACAGATTATCTAGTAGATGCCCGTGTCATATAATTGTCAATTGTTTCTTTGCTGATGTAAGAAACATTTCCTAGATGTTTGAAACTAGAAATCCAAGTATATCCTCCATTGATTTTTCCATAATCATGTCATTGGAGTATTGTGTCCAGTTCAATTCAAAAAGGGCAATGACAACTGAAGCAAGTACAGAGAAGGGCTAGCAAGTTGGGGAAGAATCAGGAAACCAAGCACCATGGGGAATGTTTCAAAGATCTGAGTATCTTCAGTCTGGATGCTTACAGACGATGTGATAGCCCTCTTTAAATATTTGAAGGGCTGTCACATAGAAGCATAGTGGACATGTGCTATTGCCCCGAAAGACAGGACCAGAACTAATAGTTTAAAATTACATAGAAAGAAGTTCAGGCAAGACTCCAAGAAGAACTTTTCAGTCAGTAGAACAGATGGACAAGTGGTCAGGTATTCACAAGAACCAATCCAATGGAGGTTTGATGTTCAGAATGGTTCAGCTCAGGACCCTGTGCTGAGCAGAGGGTTGCACTCAGTGACCACTAAGACCCTTCCAACCCAATGATTCTATGAATTCACCAAAAAAAAAAATCCCTTTGTCCCCTCCATAAAAGTGACATGAAGCAAAATAAGGCCAATGCTCCATGTGTTTGGCATTTGTCTGAGGAGTTTGGAGAAGCTGGAGTGGATGGGTGAGAGGTGAGCTTCTGAATGCAAAAAGAATAATCTGAAATGCAGCAACAACATTACTCTGACATAACAGCAAACTAGGATGAAACAGGTCTTGTCCCTTTTTGGCTAGCCAAAACTAAAACATTTTAGCCCCCACCCCCAAGTTTCACACACCAATTGATTATGTCCACTTATCTTGACTGTCTTGCCCCTTTTTTCTGCCAGATAGATTAGGGTTAAGTTTATTGATCAGTAATTGAGGGTTAATTTTGTGAATTTATGTACCATGCCAGAACTACAAAGGTATTGCAACAATTAATTATGTTTACAGCAGGCAAGAACTTTGCAGGGGGTCCTTGGTGCTCTCTGAGCTTGGTTGTTTTCTTGCAAGTGTTTCATTACCCAAATTAGGTAAATTCATCAATGCTAATAAGGAGTGAGGTTTATTCTCAGTTTATATTTTAGTGGCTGGCCCTGTCACTAGAATATAAGCTGAGAGCCACTCCACTCTTTACTAGCACTGATGATGTTACCTAGTTTGGGTAATGAAACATCTGCAAGAAAACAACCAAGCTCAGAGAGCACCTTGTTTCAACCCTGACTACAAATAACTCACCATGGCCAACTCACTATGGCCAATTTATCACAGCCAACTCACCATGGGACTACTTGTTGAGGGGCAAAGGTTAGTTAATATTGAAGAAATAGTGAAATAGAATCATGAAAGAAAGGATGCAAAAGGAGGGACAAAATGAAATATGAATTGCCAAAAATTAGAATAATAATCTATTGCTGCTTTATCCTGAATGATTATGGTGTATGAAGGTTCTTTCCAAATGTCTATCAATAAATCATCAAAC